GTCAGTGGATGACTGAGAACAGGTCAAGACCGAGAGGATGCATATCAATGACCGAGGGCTCACAGGTCAAGTTTGAGAGGTCACACCTCGGCAGAGGTGGTGCAGCAGACATCGATCTGGAAGGGGCAGCACGTCCCATACAAGATAGCTATCTCCGCCTGATACAATAAACTGGTGAGGACAGACACCGGTGACGATGTAAAAGAAAACAAACACTGTCGACTCGTCTCTGGACAAGCATTAACGGCACCGCATAACTAATGACATGGAGACAGACTTCATCGATCATTTTATGGTCGATGCTCAAACATAGGCAATGGTTAATTTTATGATCAAACATAAAAAGCTGTAGAAAATATCATGGCAACATCCAAAAGTCACAACATACAAAAATAGAGACAAAAAAAACAATATCCTAGCGATCACCGGAATCACCACAGAAACATGGAATCAAACACAGTCATGTTTGATCGATGAACTGACAACACACAAACCACTGTACAGCTCTGCCTTCCATTGCCGCTGTAGGTGGTTGCGATGGAGCACTGCCAAATCGATAGCAATGGGTGTGAATGCGGACGGAGCCCAATCAATGCCTTTTGCCTAATGGTCGGGCTGGTGCCGTGAGGGCGGGAGTGGGCGTTATACATGTAGTCTGATAGGACGCCTACTTATAGTTTTATTTCTAGTTCATTTCCTTATCTAATATCTATTCTACATAGGCTTCTTCCTATTGTTTTTATGTACAACTTTTTCTGAAATTATGCTATCATTTCCCCTGGGCTGGGCGGACAATATAACTACTGTTTTCATTTCACGTTGCTTGCTGAGTGTGTCACCTGAAAAACAAGCAGGTCGAGTAACGCACACGTCAGAGACCGACACAGTGCTGTATTTGGTTAGTGGCCGGTTGGTTGATGTCCACTGTACATAGTGACACGTATGCGGCTGCGGCTGACAATGAAGTGGGACTCTGCCAACCTGGGGGCAGTGTCGGGCTGTGTTATTCGAGGAAGAAGTTCAGCGGCTTCTGCAGCGTGAGTTTGTTCAGAGGGAAATACTGAGCGCGCGGCTCCGGATTCGCGGAATACGGCTGTCACGCGGTGAATACGCTAACTATTGGCTTAGTTTGTGCTGGTTTGATAACAAGTCCATCCAATGTCAGGTCCAGGATATATCTTAGATGGGACCGTTTGACTGCAATCGGCTTTTACTCTTCTTCCGCTCATGATATCAGCAACTCGTCAATGACCTGTCGTGCCCTGCGTAGTGTCAGTGTCGTTACCGTTCGGGTGTCGGGGTGGTGCATGTCTATCGCACTTGCGATTGCGTGTTTATTGCCCACATAGAGTGTCGAGTGCCTGTTACCGACAACGCCCTGTAAAAAGGCTGCCAGTTTAGAAGTTACATTGAACATTCTGGAGCTGCACTCACGGTGAATTGCGTTTGGCAGCCCTTTATACCTAGTCGCTATGGTCGTTAAAGTATGCGTTGACATATGTATGTGGCCATGCTGAGGCAATTCAAGGTGTGCTGTATGCCGTACTGCTGCTTCACCATTGGAGTCACGCCTGCTGTGAAATTGATAAGTGAATGATAGCATGAGAGGCCCGCGAATAGCATTCCCTAGGCAGCTGCACTATATGTGGATCGAATATGGCAAGCGCTTATTCGCAAATCAGTGCTCGTTGTAGCCTATGGTCAGATTCCGAGTGCCTTGGGGCATATACAATAGTCGACTTCGGCGTGCGCATCGGCGCCGAAACGGGGCTCCGGTCAGGTTACAAGAAACGGCTTTGATAGCTGGCCCTCGACATTGATGATTTATCGACTTTGTTTTATCCATGAGCTCTCAAATGAGAAATGCTCGCTGAGTTGTGATGGAATGACTTGACGACTCATCATTATATGCCTCGTTCTTATCAAAATAATTACAGCTCGCTTTGAGCGTGCACCGTCATTCTTTTGTGCAGATAAATGGACTACCAGCCTGAGCGTCCAGCTAAGCTACCAGCTAAGCGGCCTTATAGCAGCTACCACTTTCCAGCTCCATTGAAGCTTTTTTACGGGTGCGAGCACTCATATGAAGATCTAGCCTCCAGTAAAACCACTGATCTTTTATACACAATTAGCTAAAGCGTTAGCCAATTGAAACTTTCTTTTCCGGTTGTCCGTCGTTGAATATGTTTTCTTCGACTGGAGCTCGAGTCTGGCTAGAACATGTAGTCACGAAAATGCAGAAAGTTTATGTGCGAGTGCGCTGTGCATTAGCACCTACTTTCCCGTCTCCTCGTAGTTGATGGTTTGGGAGCTGGGATGTGCGGCAAAGAGAATAACATTTTCCGTCACGCAGAGGGCGTGGTTTTTAGGCTAAAGCGTAAGGCTGTGGGTTGGTGGCCAGTCACGCTATCACAGAATAAATGATAACCAATCATAGCTGACCGCTCCCACTGGTCACAAGCGGTAACTGCTACCATCATTCATTAGAGACAGCTATTGCCTCAGTGAATTGATTCCGACAAAAAGACAAAGGTCGCTAGTTTTTTTTTTAACCCGCGCACCGACGGGGGTCTGCGCCAACTTCGCACCGACGGGGGGGGGGCGGATGACCGCCCCCCCCCCTGAGATCTCGAGAACGAAGCAAGATAGCGACAAGCGGTAAACGGCATCGGATACGCACGGTCAAGATCTACAATTTTTACAAAGGTCATTTTCAGGTCAGGTCAAAGATGACGTCACAGGGGTCGAAAAATTCAAAATGGCGGCGCTAGATATGGAGAGAGTTTTTCTCGAATAACTTTCGAATTAGTCAAGATAGGAGCAAACTAAGGGCACCATCGTGATCCTCTCGTCAATCCGCATCGAATGATATATATGTTGACCTCGAAAGGTCAAGGTCAAAGGTTGACCTCAGGTCACGTGATCTCGAGGTCATCATATAGATCATTCGATGCGTCTTGACGAGCTGAACACAATGAGACCATCTACGCGGCTGTATCTTGTTCCTGTACGGAGTTATTGGCCAAAAACCTTTGGTGACCTTTGATGACGTCACATGACCTCACAGCTGCCCAACAGCAAAACAGACCTCAAGGTAGTGAAGTTTGATCGTATATGAAGTCATGTATGGTATATGGGGCCATTCCGAGCCGTTTTAGTGGTAAAAATAGGGAGTTGATTTTCCCCCATTGACTTATAATGGGGAGGTCGCGAAATTGACCTGACCTTAGGTCACCGATATCAAAATTCCGAGATATACAAATTGTAGCTACTAATGACCTTGTAACATCCTGCGACTTTCAAAGGCCTCCGACATCTACTGTAGCTCTGGCACGGTGACAAAGTTGCAAAAAAGTGACTTGAGGTTGGGTCATTCAAAGTGAGCTGGTGACCTGACCTTAAAAGATAGGAGGTTCAAACTTGCACACCATGTGTAAAATTGATGAGGGAATAGTCGTACCAAATTTCGCGGCGCTACGCGCCGCGGTTTTCCCGCTATTCGCGAAAAACCTCAGGGGGGGGGCGGATATCCGCCCCCCCCGTCGGTGCGCGGGTTAAGAGACTGGCTAGAGGCTTACATAGCTGGTAATTGCCCACTGTTTTATACCATGTTTTTCTTCGGCTCTGGAGGTCAGCAATAGCTAAATGTTTCCTTTTTCATGCTCTACTGAAGGGCAAGGCAGGAAAATAAATAATTGTACCTGAATGACTTGCCTTGGCTCGCTACTGTGCTTAAAGGGACAGTATCATCGAAAAAAAAATCCATGTATGGAGCTGATTTTTTTTTTTACTAGCATTTCTTATTTTTCTGAATCAGAAAAACATAGTTTGAGGACCGAACTCGGTGAAAAATATTGCAACCACATTTCATTTTCATGATTCATTTTCATGAGCGAACCACCACTATACAAGCATGGCCGCCAGTTTGGAAGCATGCAAAATTGCTACAGAACTGGCGCAGATAATACATTATTGACGCTACGCTTACGCGGTCGTTCTTCTGATTGAGTTGTCCTTAGGGAGAGGTAGCCTTAGGTATTGCCCATAAAAATATAACGTGACAATTGGAGGGAGTGACAATTGGACGTGACAATTGACAATGGGAGAAAATATCACGTGACAATCACGTGATAAACGTCATACATTGGAGGGAGATTGTGATTCAAGCTGGAGGAATTCCTTTGTTGAGCCGCTAGAATCCGAAGGAAACAGCGGAAATTGCCTACGACTATTTAATGAATTTAACGGTGATGAATAAGTGCGAAAAACGTTTTGGCTTTATAAAATTTGATGAAATGACCAGGGTAAAAGTTTTATTACTGGCGGTCAATTCAAAACGGCGCAAACATTTAAACAGTGAAGATAGTGAAGCACGATTCAAAGTGTGGTACACCTTTCGTACTTTGAGCGGCGATAGCGGGATAACGGTGTGGAGCTTCGAGGATCGGTCTTCAGTTCCCGGACCAGAAAGGTGGGGCCTATGCAATGTCAAATTTCATCAAAATGGTGATACTGTCCCTTTAATGATGCAGTTTTTACTGAAATGATGCTTGTTGTACATATATGTATATCCGAAAGATTTCAAATATTGATACTCGATGCTGAACATGTTTGAACGAATTAATTTCTGGCATATCTTGTAAAGAAGAGTTCAAAAATAAACGGCAGCATTAGTGGCTTGAAATACCATAATATGCATCAAAATACGACGGACTGAAACGGACGATTTAAAGCTACTCAAGCCAGCTAGCTGCCTCGTGCCATGGTCCCCAATAACCATGCCCTCATACTTTCGGCGAAGTCGTTTTTTCAGATCTTCCGTAAGAGTGGCGAGTGCCTTTCGAGACTGCCCAGCTTCATACCCAGGCCGCACAAAAACAAGTGCCAGTGACCAGTGTGAAAATGTGAGCCGACTGTTCAGCCCGCCCTAGTACTCGGCTTCCTTGAGACTGTTCGTGCACTGTTTCGTCTTATTTCAAAGCGTGCTTGCTCTGTTCCAGACCGCGACTCTCCAAATCGGGCTGTCTGGAACGAGGACGACGCTTCGGTGGTGTGCGCTCCACTGAGAGGCCGCTGCCCACCCGGAGGAACACAGTCGCTGGAGCCATCGGTACGGGCACAGTCGCTGGTGCCGTCAGCTGAATCTGTACCGCCGTCCTCCAGTTACCGGTCGCCAACCGCGGGCCCACCATCGCCATCGAGCAACCCTCCACCGCCACCTGAATACACTCCTCCGGTGCCCGCGGACCCTCCTCCACCGTCTGTCATCCCTCCGCCGCCACCTGCGGACCCACGACCGCCACCAACGTACCCCACAGCGCCACCATCATACCCTGCAGCGCCACCTGCAGACGACGCGGCCCGGCCGGCAGGCCCACCTGTGCCTCAGCTGCAGCTGACTTCGTCTACCGGTGCGACCACCCCGTCCCCTGGTGGCCGGCGGGTGAACTCAGCGCGGCCTCCGCCACAGCGCCGACACCTAGCGGTGACCGGGCGAACTACTCGCGGCTCGAGGGGCCCGCGCTCGGCTCGCGTTCCCGAGGGTCGGGCGGAGGTGCGGCACCGGTCCCCGCGGCGCAGTCCGCGCGCCGGTCACTCCCACACTGACCGGCGCTGTCTGAGCGCTGCACTCGGCGCTCGGCTGAACATCGAGCTACTACCGAGCCGCTGCAGCCCAGCTCCGCCCCGAGAGACCGCCGCCCAGCAGACTCCGCGTGAGGAGGAGGTGCCACCGTGCGAGCAGCCGCTGACGCTGGCGGAGATCCGGCGCGCCGCCCAGACCTCGTCCATCAGCCAGGCCATCACCAGCGCCACCTGCCACCAGCAGCCGCTCGTGCAGACTGTGCAAACTGTGAGCGTGCACGAGCCGCCCACCGAAACCATGGCGCTCGGATACCAGAAGAAACTGCAGTGGAGCCAAGAGAGAGGTAAGTTGCAGCCTTATGAAATACAATGCATGTAATTGTATGCATACTATGGACGCCATGAATTTACCCAAATTCACATTCAAAGTGCATGAACGTTTTCATTTTCCTCCTTTTCTTATCAACGAACTCGTCGAGCATGTACACTCGGGGGCAGATTGATGTTCTACAACTCTTTAACCACCGGGTTCCTATGGCTCAGCATTGGCAGCAGCCGCCTGGTACCGGTAGACTGTGCCGCTTCACTTACTTGTCAAGCGGCACAGCCTACCCACACCGTATGCCACCGGTCTGGGTCGGTGGCTGGAAGGCGATGTGGGCCGCCTGTGACGTCAGCGCAGCGGTGAGGGCCGAGCCCGGAGGCATGGCTCGGGTCGGCGTGTCGCGGCGGCTGGCGAGGGCTGGGGAGTGAGGTGGGGTGGGAGCACGGACCATCGTGCGACTGAGCGTGTAGTTAACTTTCGTCTCAAGGCGCCAATTATTCTACCTAACAATTGTGCTACAGCAGTTGTTAAAATGTCCTATTCCCAAGACAGCGCCTATCATCATACTTGCCATGCACATTACGGCACACTTAAACGTGGCATTGGGACAGCCGATAGAATTTATATCACACGTGCCTCGAGTTGCGGAGCTACATTGTTTTTAACAGATAAGTATTAAGGCCTTGATTGAGCTCATTGGTGTCTATTATTTCGCACAGCAATCGTCCAGAGACGTGGGAACTGGGGTTTTTGGATAGCGCGGCGTCCCAACTTTAAGCAACTCTTACTGTTCCTCTAATGTGTGGTCGCAGCCACCAATAGCAAACCGTTCCATCTAGGAACAAATAAGTCGCGCACCTGGGACGGTTCGAACCGGGTTTCTCCAACCCGGCACCCTACGACGCTAGCGTGTATCCACTGAGCTGCCGACACCAGCGACCACCCGCCGCGGTCAAACGCGATCAAATATCACAATACTGTCATTGGCGGTCAGCGGGTGAATGTCATTTTGTTTTGTGAAGACGAGGACCATGCTCGGTAGCTCAGTGGATCAACGCTCGTGTCGTGAATTGGCCGGTGGGAGAAGCCCGGTTCGAACCCCCCTGAGTGGCCGACTTTTTGGCTTCTAGTTGGAACGGTTTGCTATTGGGGGCTGCGACCACATATTAGAGCAACAGTAATAATCGCTTCAAATTGGGGCGTTGGCTGCGGCACTACTCATAACCCCCAGTTCCCACGTCTCTGGACGATTGCCGTGCGAAACAATAGACACCAATCTGCTCAATCAAGGCCTTAATACTAATATGTTATACAAAATATAGCTCCGCACCTCGATGCACGAGTGACATAAGTTCTATCGGCTGTCCCATTGCCACGCCTAAGTGTGTCGTAATGTGCATTGCAAGTATGATGATAGGCGCTGTCTTGGGGATAGGACATTTTAACAACTGCTTTAGCACAATTGTTAGGTAGAATAATTGGTGCCTTGAGACGTGAAAGTTAACTACACTCGCTCAGCCGCGCGATGTCCGTGCTCCCACCCCACCTCACTCCCCAGCCCTCGCCAGCCGCCGCGCCGCGCCGACCCGAGCCATGCCTCCGGGCTCGGCCCTCACCGCTGCGCTGACGTCACAGGCGGCCCACATCACCTTCCAGCCACCGACCCAGACCGGTGTCATACGGGTGGGTAGGCTGTGCCGCTTGACAAGTAAGTGAAGCGGCACAGTCTACCGGTACCAGGCGGCTGCTGCCAATGCTGAGCCATAGGAACCCGGTGGATAAAGAGTTGTAGAACATCAATCTGCCCCCGAGTGTACCATGTCCTTTTTATAACACCCCTAATTTTCTGAGCTCATGTTCGATCGGCGTGTCGTCGCGGGGTTTCACTGGCACAACATGCACGGTGACGGCCCCCGCATGTTACGCTGCCGATGAGGTCGCTAATGATCACTTTACAGCGGTGAAGTCATTAGTCAGACTTCAGAGACGATTGACTGCTGCAAGTAGCATGTCAGCCATTTCAAGGAGATGTTTCTCACACAGCTATCTGGTGATCCTTTTTGGGAACGAAGCCTGCCGAACATTTTCGCTAAAGACAAAAACATGAGGTCGTTTAACCTTCCAGGCGGTGAGGGGGGGACATTTTTTGCCCCCCCCTTTAGTTTTTTTTTCGATATATCTCGAGAACCGCTGCGCCGATCGTCACCAAACTTTCAGTACCCTTCCGGGAGTAGCTAGCGCACATGATGACCAAAATTTTTTCCAAAGGCTATGATAGGTTGGCCGCTAATGACGTCAGAGTGACGTCATTTCTGCCATTTTCGACCCAAAAAAAGGTTTCGCGGGAAGAGCTGTCAGGCCTACAGCTTTAGAGATACAGAAAAATGTTCTTAACATAAAAGGTGTGGAATCAAGAGGGCTACAAAACGCTATTTCGGTTTTTCGAATTTTTTGGATTTTGACCCCCAAAAATCAAAAAATAGATTTTTTAAAAATAATAGCCGAAAAATCCAAAAAGTTTTTTGAGTTTCGAAAAAACCGGAATATATGTGATAGTCCCTACCGCCTTCTATCTACATACCAAATTTGAGATCAATACCTCTTTTTTTGGCCAAGTTATAGCGAAAAAACTGTTCAAAATTGATGACGTCAAATTTTCAAACTCAATTTTTAGCAATTCTAGACCTCGTAGCGCAAAAAAAGACCACCACTAGACTCCCCGTGACGAGCTGCATCGAATCGATACCCATTTTGTGCAAAAATATCAACTTTGAAATTTGACCTTTTTTTACCTGACCTTGACCTGACCTCAACCAGAAAGTGACCTAAACCGTACCTGATGGTCTTATAACCAATACCATTGAGTTGGAAATGAAAAACTGGCCATAAAACATGCATCGCACAACCTTAGTAAAGTTGGGTTCATGTGGTGACCCTTGGTGACCTTTGGTGACCTGACCTGTGACCTGACCTGGTATGACCAGCGACCTCTAATAGCAACATATGTACTAGACAACTGACGCCTTATCGCTGATTTTCGACCAAATGCGTTTTACTCGGTGGTATAGCGCTTTCCTTAGAAGCCCCGTGAACGGTGAAACATTTTATCTTTGACCTGACCTGTGACGTCATCGGTGACCCCGAGGTCAATGAAATTTGGTTTCCCTCCACAAATTTGACAGGGCTATCGAACGCCGTTTGAATTTTCCGGATCCGTCCAGTAGTTTCGGAGATACGAGGGGGGGGGGGCAAAAAAATGCCCCCCCCCCCACCACGCGGAAGGTGGCTGGGAGGCCCACCGCCTGCCGGGTTAACGGCTATGTTTGAAGCGAACACAAAATTCTGGCGCCTGGGCTGAATATAAAGGTTATGGCATGAATTAGAAAACAAGGTCACGAAAAAACGTATGATGATTGTATGAGAGTCTTAGTTTTAGTGAGCATTATTTCAGTTGAGGTGGATTTATTATGCGTCGCACTATTTTATTTATGTCAGCACCGACTTCGTCAGCAACGCATGTCATGTAGAGACGACTGTGAAAGGCACACACTACACAGATGTTTTGGTGTACACCTGTGCCTTTAGTGACGACGCTATTGAATATTAATGACATGGGCTGCAACCTACCGACACCTCTCGCCGGCTTCTGGTTCTGACACCTGGTGACTGGCGAGGGTTATACGAGAGACTTACGCCCCCCCCCCCCCGCCCCCTTACATGGGGATGGGCGTCCTAACACCCCCCTTTCCCCCCACCCCCACCCAATCTGTACCATGGCGCGAGAATGACGATCTTGAGAAGCTGTGACAGATAACAGAATCTCTGCGAGTCGATTCTATAGTGAATGAGCTGGTGCGCCGGTAGACTGTGCCGCAACGCCTGCGTGTTCAGCGGGACAGCCTATAGCTCCAGGTTCGAGTGCGGGCCGCATAGGCTGCCTCGCCGCTCGCCAGCCCGCGGTTGGCCTTCAACGGCCAGGCACAACGCCAAGTCCCGAGCTCGGAGAAAGGATTATAGCAGAAGCTAAAAACATCACTTGTAATTAATATGACAATGTGGAAATATCCGTTCTAAAACCTCACCGCGCTCGCTGTCTAGTCCCTCCCTCCGTGCCTCACCGCTATAAGCGCGGTGAGGCGGTGAGGGTGCACCCTCACCCCCGTCTGCACGAGCGACCGGATTCGGACGTTCGTCTGTAGTGGCACACACACACAAAACATTGAATATGCGCGTGCCGAGATTATTGGTTGCCAGCGGGAGCCGCATCCACCTGTACAGAGTATTGCGGTTTTGACGTCCGAGGCGTGGCTGAGGTGCAGCTGTTTCTCCATTCTCAGCCGTTCGCCCGACCCAGTGGTGTTTGTTCGCTTCTGTAGTTAGTCTGTTGGCTGCGATGCTCTCCGGCAGTGTAGCACAGAACCCGCAGGATTGCATCAGGAGTGATTGTTTTGTGATTACGTCATGCGTGTTGATCTGGTTATCTCTGTGCAACAGAAGGTGTTAGAGTGAAAGTCTTCACAGGTAGAAATGGTTCAGGTCTCAGCAATGCCACGGACCGTGCCAACTGCCAACTGGCAGCGATTAATTGGGTCACCGTGCGCAATGTGACCGATACAAGTCAATTGTAAGTGCATAAAACAAACGGCTCGATCGTTCAAAGGGAGCGTAATTACTGTAATCGCGCGAAGCTGGCCTTCACAGTCCTTTTATTAGCCGCTACAAATCATAGATAAAGTTCTCTGGATATGTATTGTTACGTCGTGTGAAAACAAGATAAGGCAGCAATGTCACTTGATATGACTGGTAGGCTAAAAGCGGCGACAAGCAAACTAAGAGACGATTTAATTGCTTCTATTGAATCGAAGTTCCAACTTTATGAAGCGATCTTAGAAGACATCGAGGAAAGTGCATCGGTAAAGAGCGCAACTTCAGATTGCGAATGGACAAAAACATGCAACAAGCGTACAAACATGAATAAAAAGGTACATGACTGCGGGCTGGATTGTTTCTTCTCGACCT